GCTATTTCTATCTCTTTTGTAGTCCTAGAGCACTTTATTTTAAGAGTTGTTTAAGTGAGAGAACATCTGTAACTTTGTCCAGATTAGAGGGAATTGTAATGTTGAATAATTTTTTATTATGTAAATAATTTTTTGCATTAAAAAAAATATAGATTTTTGTTTGTATATGCTATCAATTATAGTTTTTAGAAAGAAAATCGGAATCTGCAAAAATCGGTATCGGCAGGTGAGCGTAGAGCGTTGTGAAGAAAACAATCCCATCCTATAGACCCAGCAATCAAAAACACCCTAGCAACAGCATGTTGAATAACAAGCTCAAACAATAATGGTGCGAATGTTTAAATTTATTTTATTTTGCTTTATTTTAGTATATATTTTATAAATTTTTTCTTTTATATTGTTTTATTGTAATATTTATTTTCTTATTGTTCCCCAGTCACGCATAAAGCAATTGTAAATTCACGACTGATTATTGGGTATTGAGGCAAGGACCACGGACATGGATTAGGCCATGATCTTGGATTCTTGCTGAACCAAAATCCTATCATGCAAACTAAAATGTATTTGTTTTGTTTTATTTTTTTATATGCTTTTAATTACAATTTATAATTTTAATGTTATATCCAAAGTTTATTTTTTGTATAATGTTTTTTGTATTATATATTATATCTAGTGTAAAAAAAATAAATGAAAATAAAAACTCAAACAAAACAAATACAAAAATATTAAAATGAAATAATATAAAATAGAAAACTAAATCATTTACATTTTATATTTTATTTTATTTTATTGTTTTTATTTTTATTTTTTTAGATAATTTCAATTGTATTATATTTAATTTTTTTGTATTATTACATTATTATTGTTTTTTTATTATATTTGTGTTTTTTTGTATTTGTTTTTATCTTGCTACGTAGAGGTTGCTGATAGGGATGCACCGAATGTTCGGCAACCGAAATTATTTGGCCGAAATTCGCATAAACGTTCACTATGCTGTGGTTGGTGTTTTTGTTACACAAACAGAAACAACAGCCGACATTAGGGAGGCCCTTGCTGTGTTTAGGGAGTGGAACCCTGATTGGAAGCCAAGCCACTTTATGGTTGATTTCAGCGAGGCGGAAATTGATGTGCTGGAGGCAGAGTTCCATGGTAATAATTAATCATTAAAGAAGTCTTAGCTGACATGAGTACTTTTCAACAGGCTTTGTATCATTACAATTGTTGTAGTATACGAAAATTAACAATGTTAAACTTTGCTTCATGTTGCCTGCACGCAGAAACTGGCAGTGCATGTTGGTTTTGAGTTTCAAAATAGGCTACTGCATACTACACTGTTTCTTCCTATGCTCATCGGACCTTCCTGGTGTATAAATACCTGTAACTTAATGTGATAGGCTATATTACTGGGACCACGACAGACAATTGCAGTTGAACATTTAATATCCAGGTATTCATATTATAGACACTACCACTGATTACCAATGTAACAAATTGTCCACAATTTCGCACACCCATACATGGCCCGGTCTATAGTAGGTTTTAACATAGTCTTGTTCATAATTGCATAATATGAACTGCATTGTATATTTCTAATGTAATGTGTATTGGTATGTTTGTGTTCTCTCCAGAGTCCAAAGTCCTCCTGTGCGACTTTCACAGAGAAAATCATGTGTGGAGTGGACCAGGAAAAAAGACAATGGATGCCATGAAGAGGTGCTCCCTCTTGTCAGGTCTATTGCAGACTCACCCACAGAGGAGGAGTTTGCGCAGTGACTCCTTCTGCTCCAACAAAGCAAAGCGTGGCAGGAGAATGAGAAACTGAGGAGGTGGATGTCAAATAAATGGCTACCCCACACCAAAGTAAGCATATCTCCATGCTGTTATGGTTAGACTCGGGGTGCGATTTGCGGGGGGGGTCATTTTGTGACGCAATGGTTTAACTGATCCGGAGTTTCAAAAAGCTCTGTTGATACTGTTCTTTTCTCTCTTTCTTTATATAATTTATTCATTGTTTGAATAACCGTGGAAATGAAATCATTACGTTGGGAGTTGGGTCAATCTCCACCTATGGAGAGAGAAAAAAGCTGCTTTTTTCACAAATTATAATGCAACAAACTTGTCAGCAGTGTGGAAGCATTTAAAACTGTCCGAGAAAGACGCAAAAATCATTACAAGCACCGACAGCGAGAGACTGTTTAGTGCTGCATCGCATGTCTTCGATGAGAAGAGGAAGGGTTTGGTTGTTGCTGGTTACTGTATGGTAATTGAAATCACGAAATGGCCTTAAACAATTAGTTTATAAACTGCAGAATGTTATGTTTTCTAATACACGCGCGCATTGCATGTATTCTGACAGCGCTGCACGAACTCACCGCGCTATCTGCTTGTTAACCAGGGTTCAAAGTCCAAACCGCGAGGCAAATCTGTGCTGAAACAGTGTTACTCGTCAGTTACTCAGTCACATTTTTATGAATTTTTACAAGGCATGTGACAATGCGATACGTGCAACGTATTCGTAATGAGACTCATTTATAAATCTGCTTTCAACAAAAAGGAAGCATTGAGGTCTTCCTGTGCGTTTCTGGCAAAATAAAAGTTGAGAAAAAGCAAGAACTCCATCAACATTCATCATTCACACATAGTGTTCAAATTGGGATCTGTAATATTGTCTAATGTTTTAAAAGAAGTCTCTTCTCAGTAAGGCTGCTTTTAATTGTACAGTAAAAATACATGCCTGATTCAAGAAGGGGGTCCAATCGCTAAAAAATATTATTTTGCTAACTTATTAATTTTAAGTTAAATTGTGCTTTGTTGGTATAATGTCTGCTAGAATGTAAAAAATGTTCAGTGTTAAATATTTTTAAATTGTTGTTTTCTAATTGATTTTTTCTTTGAAAAACAAGACAAAACTATAAAAATGTGTTACAGTTTTGATCCCCCCCCCGCCCCTCCCTTTTTTTTACTTGAGTAAATAACACAAAACCCAGTCGTTGTTACTGCAAGCATCCTCCTGCACTGGGATTTGAGTCTGATTTTGAGTCCTACAGTCTTCCGTCTTTGTTTATTTTGTTTTCTGCACAGTGGGTTTTACACATGTCGCGCTCGTGCTGCATTGAGTTCTCTGTCAGGCTCTGTCTGTGAAGTTCAGCAGTAAGAGTCGTTCTCCCAGCGCTCACCTGATCCCTTTGAAGCCTCGCTGCTTTCGTGCCACGTCGAGTGTCACTTGGTTGGCATGCAGCTCCATGAAATATGGATGCGGTTTTCCATAGATCAGCATTACAGCCGCAGAATGCACCGGCACTCACATACACCATTGCGCTCTATAGTATTTTATTTCTCCCTGAAGTCTACTTATAATGTAAGTCAAGGATTCTTGCAGCAAAATATCCATAGTTAAGCTTTTTTGTGACCATTTTATGCAATCTCTGATTTTGCTACTGTACCTTTAAGACTTCTGTATATAAATAACCTCTGAAAGAGAAAGTTGTTTCAGAGAGCAAGTTATTAAATTTTAATGAAAGATGATGAAAAGCAATCTTTTATTTAATTTGGAATAACATGCACGTTTTGTGCATGATTTTATGTGCGTTTATATCTTTACTTTCATATTTGTCTGTATTTGACCATTTTCTCCCATCTCTGATTTTGTTACTGTACCTTTAAGACATCTGTATATAAATGAACTCTATTGTGATTGGTAATCTTTGCTTACCTAACGTATTCATCAGGCCACTGAACATGTTTTGAAATGTAAATATGGGTCAGCATATGTTAATGAGCTCATGGTTGTGATGTCAAGGAATTCTCTGAACTCTACAATGCAATTGGCCGTATTAATTATACACTGTTATAGTATTTATTAGTATTCTGACAGTTTTTTTTTTACATTTTTAGTTTTCTTTTTAATTTTAGTTTTATGTGTTTATAAACAGAATTTTCATTTTTGGGTGAACTAACCCTTTAACTTCAGTTTTAGTATATTTTTCAGTTTTCATTTTAAATTTAGCTGAAGTTTTAGTAATTTTATGTGCTTTTGAATTTTTTAGTATTTTTTTCTGTATAGCTTTTTATATTTCAGTTTTCATTTTAAGTTTTAGTATTTTTGGTTGAACCTTTTTTAATATTTATGTTTAGCTTTATTTTATATTTATTTCACTTTTAGTAATTTTAGTCCTTTAACTGTAATTTTAGTGTTTTAGTTAAGTTTTTATCTAATAAGTTTTATCTAATATTTTTATTTTATTTCAGCTTTATTTCAATTACCAGAATTTTTTTTTAACAGTTTCAGTTTTAGTTAATAACACTGGCAATTGCCCATAAATATCTCTTAAATACGAGCTGTTCTTGTGTGAATGTGAACAGCTGGTTGTAAATCTGAGTGTAATGACTCTGTCCTGATGTAGGTTCGCAGTAATTCATGAAAGATGGATGTTGTATGACTCTATATATGTATTCTCCAGGCTTGTCTGACATGTTGTTATCAGTCGCCGGGTCGTTAATTATCTTGCAGGTCGACACACAGAGAGCAGTCTAAACCTCACTGCACATATAATAATAACCTTAATAATAGACCAATTAAGGCTTGATTTCAATCATAAGGGTTTCAAAGTATTAATAAGCGTTGCTGCACATGTAGAGCGTCCCAAATCATTCACTTCATTTTGGGGTGATTTTGGGGAGGATGTTGTCTATGTAGGCTGTAGACTCTTGCCCAGACGTCTGTCTTCATCTTTTGCTGTCTTTGTCATGCTCTGTGTCGGTACCTGCAGTGCAGACGTGTGGAGAGATGGTAACAGTAGGAAGTTGATGAGTAAGATCTCATGTGGCTGCTTTTGGCCTCCACATTCAGACTGATTCATACAGCACTGAGAGTGAGACGGCAGAAGGTACAAGCGTGAGGTTTGTGTATGGCAGTGTGTGCTCTGGCTTTACGGCAGCGATAAAGTCAACATGAAATTCTGGTCACAAACCATTTTGCTTCTGTAATCTACTGTATTTTTAGTAAAATGTAATATTTAATGGGAAAATATTGAGCAGGAGATAAAGAGGGGCTGAAAAATAGAAGAGATTCATGATGTCAGCCGAAAAGTTTCAGAGGAACAAGTTACTACATTTTAATGAAATTTTTTTTTTTATTGGAATATTGTGAAAAATTATTTACAAGACCAGAAACATGTTAAAGTAAATAATCAATTTTGATTTTTTTTTTTTTATGTTTTATGTAAAACAAATATTGTATTGTATGTATATATTGATTTTTATTTCATTTATTTATTTAAAATGTATTGTTTTTTTAAATATTTAATATTTAATTTAATTTGATTTCTTTAATGTTAACTAATCAATCAATCAATTAATTATATATATATTACAGAATTAATATGAAATATGCAAATATATAAAAGGGGGTTATTTTAGCATCATTGAGATACTATTAGTTTTTATTCAACTTCTATTATATTATTTATTTTTATATTTTCTGTTTTAATTTTAATCAGTTAAACTTTTCGTAATTGTTGTTTTTTGTCATTTTTCTTAGGGTTTTTCATATGTCTATATAGTTGTCATTAAATTTTATTTAGTTTTAGTTTGTTGTTTTAGTACATCAAGATAAACTAAATGAAAATAAGAAATGTTATCTTGACAACCAGCTGAAATAAAATAAGTTTAGGTTGTTTTTATTATTATTTTTTATTTCCATTTAAGTGTATTTCAGATAACAAAATTGTTTTATGGTTTTAGTGCACTATATAATAGTCCTGTTAACTTTTTTTCCCATTGTGTCAGGCTGCTAAAACAAATGCATTTCAATTCCATTTGGTGACAGAAATCACACACTCGCACATTATGCCTTATGCAATCCATGGCAAACCTGAATGCAGCTTCAGGAAAAGCTGGAAAGGTGAACGCTGCCTTGTTTACTCTGTAGTAAGAAGGTCTTCAAGAACGGCCTGAACTGCTCCAGTGTTTGGAGTTTGAAGAGCATTCGTTCTCTCGCTCCGCCTGGTTTTCTGGTCCTGTTTACAGAGAGCCAGTGAGTCAGGACAACCGCACAAACCGCTGGCACAGATGGCATTATGGGTGATGCAGAGCTACAGAAGAAACCGTTTCTCATAGTTCAGACTAAAAAAAGCTGAGAAACCACATTCAAACCACTACAGGCTGAAAGGGATGCAGTTATGTTGACTAAAAACAACTTGACTGAGAAACTTGAGAATGAAAACGTTTGCATTTTAAAGTATATTGCAAAGAGAAATTTACATTTAGCAGACACTTTTGTCCAAAGCGACTTACAATAGAGAGCCAGCAATATTTGCAATATGCAATGGCATGTTTATTGGAAAACTAGATTAGGAACCATTAGGATTAGAACTAGATTAGAATTAAGAATACAATAGTAATATATTACTGTCACAATTTCTTCAAGTCAAACCAGACTTTTATTTTGACGGGTTGTCATGAGGGTCTTTCCATTTTACTTTCAGTTTCAGTGTGTAACTAGATTAGGAACCATTAGGATTAGAACTAGATTAGAATTAGGAATACAATAGTAATATATTACTGTCACAATTTCTTCAAGTCAAACCAGACTTTTATTTTGACGGGTTGTCGTGTAGGTCTTTCCATTTTACTTTCAATTTCAGTTTGTATTTGACAGTAGTTTTTCACAAATGAAACCGTGTAAAGCTGCTGAAGTGAGTCTCAGAGCATCTCTGGAAATGGAAGTTCATGTGTTCGTGTCCTCATATATTGAGATGCAGACGCTGAAAACAATGCAAGCGTCGCATGTGTCTGAGTTTGTGTATCAGACAAAACCGTGCCGTTCATTGACACAGAAACATGCAGACTTAGACTGGGATTAATCCGTATCAATTAAAAATGTCCAGAGCTTATGATTGTTATTGACATAAATTTTGTCGTGACTCAATACCTTTTAAATGTGTTTACGCACAGTTCAATGGCATGTTTTTGTGTTTTCGTCTCTCCAGATCCCGTTCCCTGTCCTGCAGGGCGAGTGGGTGGAGTTCCTGGGCCGTGCGGACGATGCCATCATCGCCATCTCCAACTACAGGCTTCACATCAAATTCAAAGACTCCATCATCAATGTAAGAGCACCAACAGCACAAGAGAGTTAAAGTTCAGACTCTGCTGTACCTCCTCTGATAGTCGTCCAGATGTTGCAGTCTTTGTTTTTCCTGCCGAGGGGCTCATCTCCTCTCATCCCAGTGAAAGAGCCGATCTCTGGGCACGCTTTGATTTCTCTGATCTCAGCAGCCCTCTGACCTCACAGCTCTGGCAGGTCTGAACACGAAGTGAGCTCATGTTGGCACACAGGCCTCTTTTTCTCTTTCTTTCCACCCACAGCCTCCCTGACATCCAGCACATAAACTGCTGCTGGCGTCCCAGTTGGGTCTTTAGTGAAGTTGAAGTTTAGATTACTTTTAATGTGGTTTGTGTAATTTAAATATAAAATACTTTCTCCTTCACAAGTGTATATAT